TCTCATTAACACATCTTGCATCTTGTGGGAACAAGACAAGAAAACTCCAACATTATAACGGAATGTTTGCATTACCAGTCTGGTCTACACTTGGAATCACTGGGTTTTTTCTTATGGGTAATTACAGTACAGTAGGAAAAGCCTCCTGTGGCTATAGATAAAAGTTACTAGCATAGCTTTTGTTGCTCAAATTGATGAGTGTGTTGTTCAGATTTTTTGGTTTTTTTTAGTATCTTATTATTGCAAAAGGAACGATTTTTACCAGTCTTTGACAAGAAATCCTGTGGTATAATTGCAACAGCAAACACTATTATGTGATAGAAGTCCATATATTTCCATTACTGAACCTTCCCCAGATGAACATCTATTTACAAAGTTGCACAGAATCAGAAAGCTTGTAAGTGTAAAGAAAAAAAGTAAGCAATAAATATTTCATATTTTACCGTATATGTATCTAGCTATACAGTTATATATATAATAGCTTATAATGAATCCTATATAGTTTATATTTAGAATCAGACAGTTGCCACACTTACACTTCTTTTCAAATTGATAATTGAATTTTTGCATTTCTAATTTTTCAAATCATATTTTTCTCTAAGTCTGGATTTCAAAACATAGAAAGCAGATCTTTGTTTATGAACACCAAAAATATGACAGAACAGTCCACATGTAAAACTGTTAATACATGTGAAAAAAATGGCTGGAGCAAGAACTAAAGCAAAGTAAAATTTTTTCAAAGAATAAGAAGATGCGGGTCACAAGCAAGTAATTGGTAGGCCAGTTGAAACAAACAGAAAACCTGGCAGTTTGCCAAGCGTTCAGAAAGCAACAGCTGAAGCCACCGCAGAACACAGGCTGTAAAACACGCAAAGCCGTTAAGATTAAAAAACCGTGACAGAAACAAAGCAAAACCCAACGAAACAGAAGACAGAGAACAAGGAGAGTAACAGTGGAGACACTCATGAAGATGCAAATGATTTCATGCAGCCCTGCGCATAAACCATTAGAATTTCGAGCCATTCACAGGACTCTTTCCCTTCGAAGACTGTTAGTCTGCGAGCCCGTGAGCTGAGCAAGGTACCCCGCACCTCGCTGAGCCTCTGGGCTGCAGCCAAAAGCTGCCATCAAGCTTCCTGTGAGGCAGGGACACCTCAAGCAGACACCAGGCGCGGCACTTTAGGCGTACTTCAGTCCTACAGGTAGTTTCCCAGCCTGGCCAGCAGGAGAGCGCGCAGGCTCTCTCCCACTGGCGCACCCCTGCAGCTCTCCCCGCGTTCAGCTCAGCCCAGCCCGGCGGGGCGGCGGCGGCCCTGGGCCGTACCTGCGGCGATACGGGACTCCTTATCCCACGCGGCACCCGCTCGGCGGCCGCGACCAGCGCCCGGCGCCCGCAGGAGAGGCTCGTCCTCTCCATCGCCCTCGGGCCCCGAGTCCTCCTCACCCTCCTCCTCGAGCCCGAGCTCCCCACACAGCCTCACAGCCGCGCCGGGGGCAGCTTTTACCACCTGCGGCCCCCGCCAGGGTGGCCCTGCCTGAGGCGCCGGATCCGCGAGGAACAACAGCCGCTCATCAGGCTCTCCGGCACCCAGCTCCGCCATGGGCTGAGCGCTACGGGAGGTGCCCCCGGGCGGGCTCAGGCCCCTCGGCCGCAGCCCATGGTACGCCCAGCCGACACAACTGGCTCCACCGCTCCCATCGGAGCCCTGCGCATGCGCGGACACCGACTGCCCGCCCCTGGCGCCGCTACCTGCCTTAAAGGGGCCGCGGTCCCGAGCGCCCCTGCGGGGCGTTACAGCGCTCCGGGGCCGTCCGCACGAGCTCGGGAGTGCGGGTAGCGCTTTACAGCGTCCTGCGGTGGGGCCAGAGGGTTCGAGAGCCTCCTCCAGGCTAGCTGAGGGGTACGTCAGCTTGCAAAGAATTCACGCCTCTCGGGGAACGGGGAGCTTGTGCAGTGGAGGTCCCGTTGCCGGTACCGGCCGGCTGCGCCAGTTGTACCAGTCCGCGGATAGCTGAAGGCAGCCTAAGAGATCTGCTCAGTGGTCATCCGGGAATAATCACACCTACAGGCCTCCATGCTTGCACTGTTGTCACTGCTAGTCATTTAACAGAACTCTTCCCCCCACACACACACCCCTGTCCCCGCGAAGCTTGGGTTACTTCTGCAGCCGAAACATGCTTACTCCCTGGCCACCACTTCCACCAGCCAGCTGCAATCCCTTCCAGTGCTTTAAAGGGCATTGTTCTACACCATCACGGCAATTCCCACAATGAACCAACATAAGTAAAACCAACACAAACATACTTCCATTATGTCCCATGTTCCCATAACCATCCTTTTGTTTTTAACGGGAAGAAAGAGAATACAACTACAACCCCAACACACTGCATCAGACTTCTGCAGGGATGCCTTCTTCCCACCCCTCTCTACAAGAGAGGGTGTTTCCTTAGTGTGGTACTCAGAGATTCTGGTAAAATATGGGAGAGACACACATGAAGCACTTGTGTAGAATTGTGATTATGGATTATACTAGGAACAAATCAGTTCCCAGCTAAAATAGTAATTGCACATATTTATTATTCATTATTCTCATAATTATTCATAATATAAGGATTCATTCTGTACATAACCTGGATCACAGGAGGAAAATTGCTTTGCTTGGTTACCGACAAAACTTGTTTTGTCTTGGTTTACCTGTCAGCCAGTGGACTTTGGAACTAAGTTGAGTGTCATTTATTTATGTAACTATGAATATCTGTAGCATTTGATAAAATCCGTTCACACTTCCATTTCTGTTTTGAAGAATGGGGTTGATTGAAGAATAGGGTTGTAAATAAGTAACCTCAAGAACGTCAGGCTTTTTTAGCAGCTATAGAGAAAAGGAAATTACTAAAATAAGCTTTGCCAGAAGGTTACTGATACGACAATGATCCTAAAACAAAGTGATGAAGAAATAACCACGAGGGGTCCAAAAGCCCACTACCACATTTTTGTATGCATAAAGGAAGCATTCTCTAAGGAGTATGATGTAATGTATGTAACCTAATGAATATGTATGTTTAAGGACAATATAATCACAGCCTGGTTGATGCTTGGGAGAGACATGCTTGGAGGAGCTATCCCCCATGTCTGCCGGCGCCGCAATACAGAATACCTGCTTGTCAACTTAAAACTTTGTTGGTGAGCTCCTGGAGATTTCTCCAAATCAATCTGGCATCCCAAATGGGACACTCTCTGCTTGGCTGCAGGACCTGCTGAGAACAGGGCTCCCTAGGGCCCTTGGGAGTTTTTTCCGGGGGGACCCCTCAACTCATTTGGATCACTGTGGGAGCAGACAAGGACCATCTTCATAAAAGGTATTCTTTTCTTTTATATAGTCTGTAAGATGCATGGGGCATCCTGGTTTGGTAAATTGGTTTGGTAAGTGTACGCAAGGTTTGAAAGCCTTCCATAAATCGAGATAGGAAATCTCGTGGGTAAAGGCGTATACCCAGCTGCTAGCGTTCATTTGGTATACACCCACAAGAAGCAGGGGGCATCTTGTGGTTTGGGTCCTAAAAGATGCAGTGGGCATCTTGTAAAAAAGGGTTTGGATTTTACTGGTTTTGGTATACACCCACAAGAAGCAGGGGGCATCTTGTGGTTTGGGTCCTACAAGACACAGGGGGCGTCTTATAGAAAAGGTTTTGGATTTTACTGGTATTTGACTTATGTTGTGGCTTGTTATAGTTACGATTTTGGTCCTGTGATTTTGGTATTGGTGACAGACTGTTATAACTGCATTATTAATTGTTGTCTCTGTTTCAAGTGTTGTAACTGTGTATGTCTGTTTTGTGGCTTGTTATAGTGATGATTTGGTCTTGTGATTTTGGTATTGGTGACAGACTGTTATAACTGTTAATTGTTGTTCGTTCGATACAATTTCAGTCTCTGTCTCAAGTGTAACTGTGTGGAGTGTGTCTGTGGGATCCCATGTGTGCGTGTGAATGCAAGATTGATAATGGGAAATCGGCAAAGCGGAGAGATCTTGAAAAAGAGTCCTTTAGGGTGCATTTTGACACACTGGAAAGAACTGGGAGGGTTTCCTGGGGGCTTGGTAAATGAGAAAACATTGATAAAATATTGTAACCAATGGTGGCCTTTGTATACTTTGGAAGATCAGGAAAAATGGCCTAAAAATGGAACTTTGAACTATGATACATTGTTACAATTAATGTTGGTTTTGAGGTGGCAAGGAAAATGGAATGAAATAATGTATGCAGATATATTTTTCACTTTAAGAAACCACTCAGAGTGACACACGGATTGCAAAATTGATATAGCTCCGCCAGATCCCTTAATTTTGGCTTTGGAAAAGGACAGGGAAAAACTGAAAGCTAACCTGGAGAGATGTTGTTCAGACTGTGATACTAGGGAAAGACGCTTAAAGTTAAGGAAAACCAAGGGGGAAAGGAGGGGAGCTTGGGCAGCTCCTGTGTTTGAGTGTGGGATGAGTGCTGGGGAAGCAGAGGTGGAGGGATGTCGGGCGGATGTGGGGGAGTGGGTTCTTCTCCTGTGGGACCGGATTGGTGTGTGTGCTGTGGGGAGTTTGGACATTGGAAGTGAGACTGCCCTGGCGAGGGAGTGCCATGGTGTGGCTCCAGGGACTGAATTGGAACTAGACTGACAGAGACCTGGGGAATCTACCCCAGAAGATCCACTGGTTAAATTAAAGCTAGGAACTCTAGGAAATAAAGTGGAATTTTAGTGGATACAGGAGCAACTTATTTGGTGTTAAATCAGAGGGAAAAGGATTTGTTACAGATGTGGGAGCTACTGGCCACCAATAAAAAAAAAAGGGGGGGGGAAGAGGTATTCTTTCTGAAACTTTTAAAGTACATATTGGGAAAACAAATAGGAATGCATAAATTTTTATGCATGCCAAATTCTCTAAAATCTTTATTAGGGTGAGAAGCAAAATTTAAAGAAGGCAAACTCGAATTAAGAGTTAAAAAAATCAATTAATTGCAGTTTTGAGTTTATCTTTAATTCAACAGAAAAGCAAACAGGAGGACCTCCCTGAAATAGAAGAAATCCTTAATCAGGTATATCTGGGAGTATGGGCATCTGAAGTTCCAGGTAAGGTGAAAAATGCTTTGTCTGTTAAAGTAGAAATAAAAGGGGGGCCCTGCCCAATTAGAATAAAAAATATCCCTTAAAATTAGAAGATCAAAGGGAATCAAATAAATCACTGATAAATTTTAAAATATAATTAATTGAATGTGAATTGGAATATAATACTCCTATCTTGACAGTAAAGAAATAAAGTTGCAGATTGGTTCAAGATCTCAGAGCAATCAACAAATTTGCAGAAGATATTCATCCAGTAGTAGCTAATCCATATACCTTATTGACTAAATTGAATAATAATCAGAAATGGTTTGACATCTTGGATTTAAAGGAACTCTTTCTTTTGCTTACCATTGGCCAGTGAAAACCAGAATTTATCTACTTTTGAATGGGAAAATCCTGACACAGGAAAGAAAACCCAATTAACTTGGACACTATTACCTCAAGGGTTTAAAAACAGTCCAACGATTTTTGGAAATCAGTTAGCACTGGAACTAGAATCATGGGAACCACCCACTCACACAGGGACTCTGTTACAGTATGTGGATGACCTATTAATTGCCACAGAAAGAAAGGAAGAATGTGTCCAGTGAATGGTGGGATTATTGAATTTTCTGGGACTGAATGGTTATCAGGTATCCAAACAAAAGGCCCAACTAATTCAAACCTGAGTTTCCTACCTAGGATATGAAATAACAGGAAGACAGAGAGAACTTGGAACCGCTAGAAAAGAAGCTATTTGTCAAACTCCATGACTGTCGACCACCAAGGAGCTCCAGACGTTCCTGGGAATGACTGGATGATGCAGACTTTGGATGCATTATTATCGTGTTCTGAGACTGTGTATTCGAGCCCACCAGACTTGAAAGAAAAACCTCTGGAACATGCTGAATGAGAGCCCTGGAACCGGCTAAAGACAAAAGGCTAAATATTTGAACTGATTCTAAATACGCATTTGGCATGGTCCATGCACATGGTGCCATCTGGAAAGAACGAGGACTTTTGAACACACAGGGGAAACAGATTAAACATGCTACAGAAATTCTATGACTACTGGAAGCTGTTCAGCTACCTGAGGAAGTAGCTATTATGTATTGTCGAGGGCATCAACAAGGTGACTCTGATCAGGAAACTGGAAATAATTTGGCTGATTTTGAAGCCAAACAAGAAGCTGAACAATCTAAAATCATTCCCTTAATCCCTGACAGCAAACTAACAAATGAGAAATCTAAACCTAGATATTAAAAGGAGGGTACAAAATTGATTGAAGATCTCAAAGGACAGGAAAACATGGAAGGTTGGGTTCAGATACCTGATGGGCAAATCTAATTCCCTATAATCAACTCTGGAAGCTAGTTCAGGAAGAACATAATAAAACTCATTGGGGTAGCAACTCTTTGTATAAATACTTAAGACAAACAAATTGTAGGAAGGAATCTATGTACCATAGTTCAATTAGTGACAATGTCAGCTCTGGCTCAAGAATAATCCTAAAATTGAAAATAGTAATCAAATTTGTACAACTGGGGGAGGAAATTATCTGGGACAGCAGTGGCAAACAGACTTCTCTAAATTACCGAGAAAAGGTAATATATCAATATTTGTTGGTGTTAATGGATACTTTTTCAGGGTGGCCAGAAACATTCCCTTGTACAAGAAATAATGCAAGACAAGTAATTAAAACATTATTAAATTATATAATACCTTGTTTTGGAGTACTAGCAGCAATTTCTTCTGACCAAGGCTCACACTTTAGTGCAAAATTGTTACAAGAAATTAGAAAAAAATTAGAAATTGATTGGCAACTACATGTTCCATACAGGCCTCAGGCCAGTGGGCAAGTAGAAAAGATGAACCATCTGATCAAACAACAGATTAATAAAATATGTCAGGTTATATTGGTACCAAGCCTTACCACTGTCTCTATTAAGAATTCGAACTAAACCTCAGTCGAAAGAAGAGGCTGGCCCATGCAAAATTTTATATGGAAGACCATATCAGTCCTAGTTTAAAGGAGAAAGTCTTCAGGAAGTGGGAGAAGGCTATCTCTGAGAGTTTCTGATCAATCTGGGAAAACAATTAGAAGAAATAAATAAGAGAATATTAGGGACAAAAGCGAGAGGTTTGGATTATCCGATTCACCCTTTTAGATCCAGAGACTGGGTTTATGTTAGGAATTTTTCAGGAGATCCTCTACAGGAGAAGTGGAGCAGACTATACCAGGTATTACTGACTGCCTTTACAGCAGTGCAGATAAAGGAACAGCCTGCTTGGATACATTACTCAATAATCAAGAAGGAGCCAGAACCAGAAACACATCAGAACTGAGAAAAAGTATGGTGCATCGAGTCTTCAGGACCCACACATACGAGACTACATCGATCATAATTTGGACTTGTATAATAATAGGTGTAGAAACATGGAATCAAAATCTGTATGTGAGATTGATACAAAATGTTACTAGTGTTTTAAACAAGAGTGATTGTTGGATCTGTACTCAGCTACCTAAATCAGGAGAGAGACCTTTAATTGGCATCCCCTATCCCCTTTACGACAAATTGGAATAGATTATGGAGAGCTCCTGTTTATACCGACAAGAGCCATACAAATGTACAGGTTTTAAGGATACAAGCCTTAAATATGTCAGAAGTTAAATGTGTAACCACTAACAAAACTCTTAATCAAGGCAACATGTCAGTAGGAAATTACCCATATTGCAGCTGGGCAATGCAACTTCACCTCTGAAAACCTTTAACTGGTTACTGGAATGTTCCTGAAGGGAAAGGGTGGTATTGGTTATGTGGAGAAAATGCCTGTAAGGCTTTACCTCCTAACTGGAAAGGGACATGTACACTAGGAGTAGTGGTTCCCAACTTTACAGTAATTGACATTCATCCCTCTGGAACCTGGGTTCGGAGTTTTATTAAAAGAATCAAAAGAGGATATAATCTCATAGCAGAATGAAACATTGCTTTCTATAGCTTTGTTAGATGGCTTATTCCATCTCTAAAATTCAATGGCATTAGGTACACTGTTAGCATCCCAAGGAGGAGTTTGTTCTGTAATCAATGCCAGCTGTTGTTCCTATATAGATCAAAGTGGAAGAATTACTACTGATCTAAAGGAGATGTGGAAACAAGGTAAAATATTTCATGAGGTGGCGCAGGACAACACCTCATGGGGATTTGAGGAAATTTGGGAAAAATTAACATTATGGGTACCCAATCTCTCCTGGTTGAGACAGTTGTTTTTTACTGTTGTCGTGGTTTAAACCCAGTCAGGTAATTCGTTCGCTCACTTCCCCCCCTTTCTTGCCCTCCCCCTGCTCCCGGAGGGACAGAGAGGAGAATTGAAAAGAATGCAACTCCCACGGGTTGAGATAAGAACAGTTTAGTAACTAAGGTATAACACAAATCACTACTGCTACCATCAATGATAATAATGATAAAGGAAATAACAAGGGAAGAGAATACAACACCTCAGCATCAGCCGACCGATAACTCGCCCCCCAAGCCCGACCAAGCTCCGACCGATACCTCCTCCAACCCTGCAGTCCCGCAGTCCTTCCGGCTAACTCCCAGTTACATCCTGGGCATGACGTGCTGTGGTATGGAATACCTCTTTGGTCAGTTTGGGTCAGGTGTCCTGTCTCTGCTTCCTCCTGGCTTCCCCTCCTCCCTGGCAGAGCATGAGGCTCACAAAGTCCTTGGCCAAACCAAAACATCGCTATCAGCTCTGTTCCCAGGCCGAAAGTCAAAACACAGCACTGCACCAGCTACCAAGAAGGAGAAAAATGACTGCTACTGCTGAACCCAGGACAACTGTATTGTAGGAATGGTTGTGATTACATGTATAACGGTCCAATGCTCCTTTTGGTGTTGCAAACAAACCATGATGAACTATGACGAACAGAAGAGAAACAAAATTAAGCATAAAGCAGAAACAGGAAAATACTTTAGGAAACCTTAAATAAAAATGAAATAACTCAGTTGCAAAACAATTTGCAATAGGACAAGAAAAGGGGGGATTGAAGGATGGGGTTGATTGAAGAATAGGGTTGTAAATAAGTAACCTCAAGAACGTCAGGCTTTGTTAGCAGCTACAGAGAAAAGGAAATTACTAAAACAAGCTTTGCCAGAACCACCTGGTGGTTACTGATATGACTGATATGACCATGATCCTAAAACAAAGTGATGAAGAAATAACCACCAGGGGTCCAAAAGCCCACTACTACATTTTTGTATGCATACAGGAGGCATTCTCTAAGAAGTATGATGTAATGTATGTAACCTAATGAATATGTATGTTTAAGGGCAATATAATCACAGCCTGGTTGATGCTTGGGAGAGACATGCTTGGAGGAGCTATCCCCCGTGTCTGCTGGCACCGCAATACAGAATACCTGCTTGTCAACTTAAAACTTTGTTGGCGAGCTCCTGGAGATTTCTCTGAATCAGTTTCCATTCGTTTCTATTAAAAGCAAACGTATTCAGTCAGCTGTGACTCCAGATGAATAGTCATTTAATGCCTAGCGTGAAGTGTACGAAGTTTATAGCAACTGGATATAATTTTTCTGTACAGAAGATTATGTTGATATTAATTCCTGCGTGAAGCAAACAAAAAGATCAGACTAAGATAGGAGCAGCCTGACGTTCTTCCCAGCAGAGCATAAAGGAAGGCTGCATCTCCCTTTAGCTACTTATCAGTGAGTCGTGGCTGTTTCAGTAACATTCTGTCCATGGGTTTAGAAACCACCCATGGGTTTCTGAAAAGTCTGAAAGCTCTTTCTTTTGAAAAAGCTAAGAAAGAGATAACTCATTAGTTATTTCTTCTGGTTCAGGGATTCATCTACACATGCTAGTGCATGTCTAAACACAGTCAACTTAGTTTTCACCTTCCACTGCAATGAGAATTCTGTTAACAGGCTCACAGGTCTTGATCTAACAAATTCTTAATGCTGCCTCAGTCTTCAGCAGTGTAGAGTTCAAACACTACGACAACTCATAATTAAACACAATACACATCACCATCACAGTTATTAACAAACTATCAACTATAATTCTGAGTAGCTAATACTCTCAATTAGCCACCTGGATTAAAATTACTTACAATTAAATCATGCAAATAAGTTAAATCGTTTTCTTCATGGTAACACGTCTGTCTCTATTTTGCTAATCCACACGGCATACTTTGCCATCTGATTATAATGTATATCTGAGAACTATGTCGAAACTGGAGTGGGGAAACGCGAAAAAAAGAAAAAAAAAGAACACATCCATGCGCAACCCCGCACCTTCAGCTTTAGGTGAGCGCCCTCTTGTGATAGTTAAAGTAAAGAACAAGTTGAATAGCTGCTCTTTATTTCTAAAGGCACAGCAACACAGCACGTCCTAACAATCCAGATGCAGCGTGACTACGGGGACTAAGAACGAGGAGAACTGAACTTGAAAAACTCCTCCCCATTCAGAATAAGAAACCGTGTTAATTATAATCTGAACCAACAGTTCTAACAGGTGTGTAAAATTACTCTGTCAGAAAGCCTGAAAGATCCTAATCAGGCTAATTACATTTACAAAAACAGGACCATCACTATGTGCTTTTCTTATGCTAATTAGCCACCTGAGCTTGAAACTGTAAAACAGAAGAATCAGATAAGCCATCATAAACAAATTCAGTTGACCAGGTGCAGGCTGGTTGAAACCAATCATTGGAACAAGCATACTGTGTACTTAACGCACCTTTTTACATTACTGGGAGTGAGTGAGTAAGTTGCCTGACTGGGTTTAAACCACGACAGCTTGCTACTGGTTATTTTAGGAAGGCAAACGGCAACCTGCTAGCCCCCACTGCTGCCGGAGTGCAAAACCCACGAGAGGCAACCACTCCAGCGACCCAGGTAAGGCTCCACCTGATGAGGTTTCACTGGGGATTCCTTATAAAGGTGCAATGATTGTCCCTGATGTCCTGATGGCGTGTCTTTTCCCAAGAAAAGATAAGGGGGGGTAGATGGGCCTAAAAAAAGTAAGCAAATTAGTTCTCCCACAGTACCATGCTTTTCTCCCTGTAATGCAGTTTTCAGTCCTGGCAGTCAGGCTCGGCTGCAGACTGCCATTGTTTGACGAGGACAATCCCACAAAACCACCTTTGCCGCCAGAAACGCTGTGAGGAGCAGAAAAGGCTCTGACAGGAACCTTCAGGGGACAAATGTGGCTGTCCTCAACAGCCTAACTTTGCAGGGGAGTGGAGAGAAAACCAACTCACGAGCAGGCTCTTCACAACCAGGAACTCCGGTTTCTGCTGGCTGTCCCCACTCCTGTCCCCTCACGGACACAGGAGCCCGTGCTGCCTGTGGATGACCAGCTCCGAAAGCTGGAAATGAAGGCACCCAGCCGCGCCTCCTGGCAAGGCCACCGGGTGCTGGCGCCCTGCAGCAGGAGGCGGCCTGGCGCTCCACCTGGCGGCCGAGGCTGCTGTTGACCGCGCTGGGCGGAGACGGCCCCGGCAGGGAAGGGCTCCCAGTGTGGCTGGGCGGGCGCTGTCCGGCCCTCGTGAGGGAAGGCGCTACTTGCCGTTCTCGGCCGCGCATGCGCAACACCCCAACGGCCCTCATCCGGCGGGAACTGAGCTACCGACAGCTTTGCAGACACCGCCGTGTCGCGCCGGCGCTGAGCGGGAGAGGCGGCTGAGGCCGCAGAGGCCGCAGAGGCCGCTGCCGCCTGGAGCCGAGCTGCCGCCCGGCCGCCCGCCCCTCCCTCAGCCATGAACGCGGAGAACTTCAGCGTCAGCGAGCGGCTGGTGACGGCGGCCTATGTGCGCCAGGGGGCGCAGGGCCGCCGCGCGCGCGAGCTGTGCCTGAGGGCCCTGCTGGAGCAGGTAACGGGGTCGGGCCGCCCCACCGTGGGGCTGCAGGGCGCTGGGTCAGGGACAGCAGCACCAGCCTGGCACGGGGCTCCGCAGGGGAGCTGATCCCGCCTCTTCTCCGCCCAGTTCGGGCATGGCCGGAGCGTCCGGCACGGCCCGGCGAGCTCGGAGGTGTGCCGGGCCCCTCGGGCACACGCTGGGCCGTTCTGTCTCTGCGGCCCCACGCCGTGTTACGAACCTCTGAGCCCCGTGCCGGTGGGCAGGGACACGGCCCAGGCTCGGAGGCTCGGCGGAGAGCTGAGCGCCCTGTATTTGGTGGCAGAGATCTGGCGGAGCCCCGGGGTGAAAGTCCGCGACTGGGACAAAAAATGCTGTCTCTGGGTGTGCGTGTGAGAAAGGCAAAGAGGTACAAACTGTTTTTAAAACAGTAAGATACAAACATACTGGTACATGAGATGCAAAATGATACTTGTGCCAAAACAGTCTAATTTCTGGTCTCCAATGTTTAGAAATAATCAGTGAATTCTCAAACGTTTAAGTTCTTGAACAATCAGTCACATCATCCACTGCATCACACTTAACTTTAAAACACACTTTAGAAACTAGGAAGTTTTACTGAATTCATATTAGTGTTATTAGAGCATGTAAAAAGAGCCTGTGAGCTATTAAACTGCTATAGTAATGTGTCATGGGTATATGGGTAACTTTTTTCTGAGGGTCTTTTCTGCAGTTTGCAAAGACGAGAGTGCAGTTCTTAACACAGTAGAGAGCGTGTATCTGGTTGCAGGTTTTGATGTGTTATATTAAATGCTTTCCTTGCCTATTAGATGATAAGGGTTTGTTCAGCCTGAAGAAGAGAAGGTGCCAGGAAGACTTTAGAGCAGCTTCCAGTGCCTAAAGGAGGCCTACAAGAAATGTGGAGAGGGACTTTTTACAAGGGCATGTAGGGACAATTCAAGGAGAAATGGTGTTAAATTGAAATAGAGATTTAGATTAGACATTAGGAAGAAGCTCTTCACTGTGAGGGTGGCGAGACACTGAACAGATTGCCCAGAGAAGCTGTGGCTGCCCTGGAAGTGTTCAAGACCAAGTTGGACAGGACTTTGAGCAGCCTGGTCTAGTGGAAGGTTTCTATACCTGTGGCAGAGGAGTTGGAACTGGATGATCATCAAGGTCCCTTCCAACCCAAACAGTTCTATGATTCTGTAACTAGAAAGGAAAATATGCAGATAGGAAGATGTGTTGGAAGTGAAACTGTATTTCCCGTCTGCTCATAAGTAATAGTTTTGGTTCTGTAATAACCAGTTATCTCCTTTTCATCCTGTTTTCTCTGTTGAGTTCCTGTAGTAGTAGATTCTTGTCTCTAGAATACATCAAATAATGTATAGTCTTCTAGGGAGTGATTAACATGTATGTGCTGCAGTGGTTTTATGTGTACCTTAAAGAACACTTGAAAGTGAAAAATATCCTGTTTTAAATATCAGGATATGGTAGTGTAATTGCATATAATATGTGGAAAAATTGTTACTAACTTTTCTTTGAATACAGGTTTGTAACATTAGATAATATAAAACAGTGTAACAAAAATAGAAACTGCTGTTCAGTGTGGGAAAGAAGGGTAGTGTTAATCAAACAAGTTGCATGAAGCTTTGTTCATGTTTAATTTCCGTGTTTGCAAGTTACCTGTATATTGGTTGTTAAGGGAAAATGCCCTGAAGATGGATGGGATGAAAGCACCATTGAACTGTTTCTTCATGAACTTGCTATAATGGACAGCAATAACTTCCTGGGCAACTGTGGTGTGGGTGAGAGGGAAGGAAGAGTAGCGTCAGGACTCGTTGCCCGAAGGCATTACAGGTACAAGTTATTGTCAGTTTGAATTATTCAGATTTATTATTGATGCTTTCAAATGGCATATTTTATTGTGTCTTGTTATCTGAGACCTTGGTAGCATTTTAGAAAAACAGTTTAATGCAATACTGAATTGGTACAACTTTCTGTATTAAATTTTCATTAATAACTCACTGGGAAGTCTTGAATAAAATGAAAATGTTTTGTCAGGGTTATGTCCTGTGTGCTGCACTGGTGGAAGTTTGAGACATTGAGTTGACTGCGCATAGGAAAGCAGAGATCTTCCTGTTTTAAAACAATCTATGTGTTACTTGCTGTTTATTAATGCTGTGAAGCTTTTCATCTGCATATTATCCAAAACTACTGTCCACTGTAGCTGTAAAGTATCAGACGTTCTTAGTGAACAGCTATTTGTATTTGGTTTATTCATTAATGTCTTTATAATAGGATTAGCTGATAATGCACATGAAAACCCAGTCCAATCTATAATGGATTTTATATGAAGTAAGGAGATCTATAAAGACAAGAAATGCTTTTAATAGCTTGTAGCCCTTCTGACACTTAATGGGTAAGGTGCTGGAATTCTAGAGGCTCTGCCTTTATTTATTAATATACTTTTGTGTGTGTATGTAGTGTGTGCTGAGTTCCTTGCTGTGGTGTTTTATCTAACAGGAATGAAACAAAGTGAAATTTCCTGCAATGTTTCTTCTTGAAAGATTGACACAAAAGCATATTAGAGACCAGAAATTTTAGTAAGGTTTTACCCAAGGAAGGGCATAGAGCCATCCTCCCCTCCACTTATTTCTGCAATAAGTTTTACAGGTAATTTTGAAAGTAATGGAGGTAGGAGGAGATGGGTCTCAGGCTTTCTTTTCAGCTTAATAAATTCTAAGTGCTAGTCTTAGGGAGGATTGCTTCTTAGGAGAGATTATGCATGTGCAGGAAAGAAAAAGTGGTAGTATGAGAAAGCTCTTAAGAACAAAACAGCAGGAATGAAAAAAGAAAATATTTTTGATGGAGTGAGGATTATGAACAAGTTTCAATTAATTATCAAGCTATTGAGTTCAACCTATAGCTTGAAATGGGGAAAAAAAAAAAGTCTAATTTTTAAAACCGTGCTCCAAGTTCTAAGTTCCTTACACTCATCATACAGCATTTTAGTCTATTCCCAAGACAAAAACAGAATTAAAGCAATAAATAGATGTGTATTGTTACTAGCTTTCTTGAGCAGCTGCTCTGTTTTAGCCATAGGTAAAGTTAGTTCTGTAAGCTTAGATTTTTATAAGCAATTTCAGGATCCTCCACTCTGGATGGTGCTAAATAATATCCAGCATTTCTAAACAGAGTTTATAAACATAATTTATAAACAGACTGCAGAGAGAGAGGTGGTATTGCATGGTATATAATATTGAATAGTAGAATGAAATAGAGGAAGTTGAAGATGGAGAAGAAGATGGGCAAAGTGATACATTAAGTGTCTTTCAGGACATTTTGTCACAGCATATGTTATTTCTTTGCCCTATGGAGATGAAGCATTTGTCAGGGGAGTATCTGTATAATACCACTATGCCTATGGTATGCTACACTAGAGGCAACTGATTTTTGTTTTCTTTGGAGTTGTGTGTCTGAACATGTCAGCATTTATAATGCTTGTTCAGCAGATATCGAAGAAGTGCTGAGGTGCACTTAAAAGGAAGCCTGCCAGATGCTAAAGGTGTTGCTGCTATGGGTCTTCTTGTAGTTTTTACTTGCATATTGGAACAGTGTAATCTACTGTTAACAAAACCAAAACCAAAAAAACACCCCCCCCAAAACACACCTAAAAAGATTTCATGCAAATATATATTGTTCGTTATAGTGGAACTCATTATGGTAGATACTGATGCTGCATTGGATACAGCATTTTCCACAATTGATTATCAAATTAAATTATTTTCAGTCAGCCAGAATTACTGCTTTGGGATGTGAAAAAACCATGATGTATGTTTTCAATTTTTTTTTTTTTTTTTTTGTAGGTTGATCCATGGAATTGGAAGGTCAGGTGATATTTCTGCAGTGCAGCCTAAAGCTGCAGGGTCCAGCCTTTTGAACAAACTTACCAATTCATTAGTTATGGATATTATAAAACTGGCTGGTAGGTGTAAATCTGAAAATATCTCTCATTTGGTCAGGCATGTTGTGAGTTCTTCACATTAATTACCAACTTGCTTTTTTATATACAGGTGTCCGGACAGTGACCAGTTGCTTTGTGGTTCCTATGGCAACTGGCATGAGTCTAACTCTGTGTTTTTTAACGTTGCGGCACAAGAGACCAAAGGCAAAGTACATTATCTGGCCACGTATAGACCAAAAATCTTGCTTTAAATCAATGATAACTGCAGGTAAGAAGGAGCTGACTGATTACGCAGCGTATTCTTTTAACAGGTACAGAGCTTCATCTGGCAGAGGTATCAATTCATATGCTTGCACTAAGATCCAGGAAATAGTTAATGGATAGTAGTTCTAAGTGCTTTATTTCCACAGTCCTGATTTCTAACATGTGATCACATGTATGGGCTGTCTTCCTAATGCCTTGAAAAATGTAGGTATACAGAGGTGTATGACATAGTCAATAGAGAACACAATACTAAGGAATTTCCAAATCACTCTCAGACTTAGATGTCTAATTTGCTGTCCTGATAATTATATCAAACAAAGGCTTATGGTTCAAATCTCTTAAATTTATGCAAAATAGTTTTGTGTCCTAGGAATTTTGATTAGAAGGTGACAAACTGTCTGACATGCACATTATTTTATTTCAGAACCTGGGAAGTATTAGCTGCCCTGTTTGGGTTTAATATTTCAGCATCATTCAGCTCACTGAGGACATGGGCTTGGTGCCTTTCTTAGCTCAAACTTTAATTTCTCTGAAATGGAGTTCCTTATTTACTAGTCTGTAAGTACACTAAGGGTTGAAGTGTGCTCTTCCACTGAAGCAGTCCTCTTTTGCAGACAGATGCTTGGGATCAAGGAAAGGGCAAGTAAGAGAGACTATAATTTTCCATCTCAGTGCACATACCTGCAGGTGGTGGCATAGATTCTGGTCCTATTTCCTAGGACACTTTTATTCTTTGCAAGAAAGAATAATTAGATAAAAATGACTAAACAGTTGGAAGCAGAGACTGGATTCTGTCCAGGTAAGATGCAGAGGTGTGTAAAAGGAATTGGATGAGAACGAATAGAACGTGTCTATAAGAAAAGTGGGAGTGTTGTTGGAATATTATGCTTAATTTAGAACATCAAGCTAAGGAAATTTATAATGGAGAAGGTTCTGAGGAAATAAGACCAATCTGTGATTTTTCTGAAGAATTAAGACAGCTATCACAGAATTACTTAAAAGAATTGTCAGCCAAACATAAGAGAGAAGCAGGTATCAGAAATCTCACAACTAAGTATTAAATGGAATCTCTGCCTTCCACATCACTAAATGAAAACCAGACTAGGGTTAACAATGCCAGTAAATCATTCTAGCCTAAGTACTTCTACAGGGTTTGGGCCTTACATGTCAGCTTTAAGGCATAGTGTCAAGCCATGAAGGAAAAATTGACAGAGCTGCTGCCATGTTACAGTACTTTGAAAATCACTCTTTACCCCCACCTCCTTCTCCTTGACTTTCATCAGTAAACTGAATATCTGTCTGCTTTTTAAGAAAGTAATAGTTGCTTCATGTTCAGGTATGCCATGCCCATGCCACACCTGTTTGGGGAAGAGACTATAGTCCCCAGTTCCAGTGTTTTATTCTGTAAACAAAACCTTTGTGATTTATTTATTTGTAAGCAAGAAATTTGAGCAACTACCGTGACAGGTTTCTCTCTATAAGAAAGAAAACTCTTTAAGCGGTAGGTTAGGTCAGCCATGCATTTGTCTAGCTGGATCTTGAAAATCTTTGAGAATAGAGGTTCCCTAACTTCTCTGGATAGCAGTTCCAGTGCTGTGCTATTCTCTGAATGCAAATTAGTTTTTCTTGCTGTTTATTCTGAACATCTGAAGCCAAAGTTTGTTGCTACTGCATCTTACTATATCATACCAAATGAGAGTTTGTCTGTCTTGTCTTAGTAATTCCATTTTAGATTGTTGGGGGCTGCTATGAGATACTGTCCTTAGCCTCTTCAGCCTTGAAAAGTCTGCCTTGCTTGTTGTGTGCAGTATACTGCACCTTGGTAGCCCTTTGATGAGCTCTGTTTTTAAAACATCCTTCCTGAGCAGCTGTTCCAAACCTGTAAACATTCCAGTATTTAGAAGAAGGGGATAACTTTCTTTTTTTCAACCGTTTCTCCTTGTGTCCTTGAGAAACAACCTTACAAGGTTCAGCTGTTGTACATCTTAAATACAAACTTAGACTGGAAATTTAAAAAATATAAAAGACCTGGGAAATAGCTTGGATTTTGAAATGACAGAGTTCACATTCGAAATGAGGTCACATGGAATTTTTATCTTTTAAGAAGTAATTTGGGAGTTTATCAGTTGCATAAGGCAGAGGCGTATGATGAAAGCCAATTCATAATGATGATTATTGCAATGCTACATCTAATGGCATCCTTTTTTAGAGAGGCTATTTCGTTGTGCTGTTATTTTAAAAGAATGCCACTCAACCACTTTCTTTGTAATTGGGAGGGAAGGCGTTAATGTTTTTAAAACAATCTTCAAACCTGTTGCTGTTGCGTGCAACAGGTTCTGTATCTATGTTCTTAATCCAAGACTGAAAGAATCTGTTAAAACAACAGAAGCAAGAAGATTTATCAGATTTATACTGGAACTAAAACCCCACAATTAGTCGGATTTCATGATCTACATTTAGATCTTGTTTTTTTTTGCTCAGGTTTTGAGCCTGTGGTTATAGAAAATGTATTAGAAGGCGATGAGCTACGGACAGACATTGAAGCAGTTGAGGCTAAAATCAAGGCTCTTGGTGCTGAAAATATTCTTTGTGTGCATTCTACGACATCCTGCTTTGCTCCAAGGGTACCTGATAGGTAAGTAGGCTTTGAACTTTTTCCAGTTACAAAAAAAAAACAACAAAAACCCTCCATGTTTTGAATGTCAGTTTTCCTAAAATTGGTCAGTTACCACCAGCAATTAGTGAAGATACTTTACTCCCCTTGATTAAGGAAAGTGGCAGGTTGAAACAATGTTCCACTTTGAGAAAACTGTATTAGGAGAGTGAGAATAATGCAGAAGGTTTCCTTCTGTCATATAACTGAGGTTAATGGTGATCTGCTGTGGTGAAATGAATGTCATTTTGGCAGTGGTTTTCTTGTCATTTCATGGAAGTACTAAAGTAGACTTTCATAGAAACATAGCCCAGGGAAATGTAGTTCCAAAGCTAATGCCATGTTTTAATACTACTCTTGCCTTTTCTGCTCATCTCCTTTAGCCAGCTGTGAATTTTCAGAGGCTGTTAAACCAGTTGGAAAAAAAGCTATAGCTAAATTTTAAATCTTTGCTTGCATTATTCTGTCTTCTGTTATACTGATGTTTATAGGGCTTATTAACTGATACAAGCAAACACTTGGAAGCATCTAGGGCAGATATGCTGGGTGAGTGTAATGTATGATTTGCCCTCCTGTAACTTGCCATGTTTTGAACATTTGCTGCCTGATTGTATGATGCTACTTCTTACAATTTCCAGCTGTTAAATCACCATTAAAAGAAGCTTAAAATACATTGCATTCTTTACTAATACTATCATACAGACAGAATGGTTTGGGTTGGAAAGGACCTTCAAGATCATTAGTTCCAACCCTCCTACCATGGCTGGGGCCACTTTCCACTAGACCAGGTTGCTCAAAGGCCTGTCCAGCTTGGCCTTAAACACTGCCAGGGATGGGGCAGCCACAGCTTCTGTGAGCAACCTGTTCTAGTGTCTTACCACCCTCATAGTAAAGAGCTTCTATATCTAAACTAAATCTACACTCTTTAAGCTTAACGCCATGCCTCCTTGTCCTGTCACTACGTGCCCTTGTAAAAAGTCCCTTGTCAGCGTTCTTGTAGGCCCCCATTAGGTACTGGCAGACTGCTATCAGATCTCCCCAGAGGCTTCTCTTCTCCAGGCTGAATAAGCCCAACTCTCTCAGCCTGTATTCATAGGATAGGTACACCAGTCCTCTGAGTATCTTCATAGCTCTCCTCTGGAATCGCTTCAGCAGCTCCGCATCCTTATGTTGGGGGCCTCAGAGCTGAAAATAGTGCTCCAGGTCAGGTTTTCTGAGAGTAGAGTAGAGGGCCACAATCACTTCCCTCAACCTGCTGGTCACACTCCTTTTGATGCAGCCCAGCATATGGTTGGCTTTCTGAGCTGCAAGCTCACATTGCTAAGTCATATTGGGCTTCTCATCCACTAACACGCACAAGTCCTTCTCCTCAGGGCTGCTTGCAATCTCTTCTCCTTCCAGGCTGCATTTGTGCTTGAGATTTCCCCAACCCCCATCCAGGGCCTTGCATTTCACTTTGTTGAACTTCATGAGGTTAGCATTGGCCCACCTTTCCAGCCTGTCAAGGTCCCTCTGGATGGCATCTCTTCCCTCCTGTGCACCACGCAGCTTGGCATCTTTGGCAAGCTTGCTGAGGGCGTGCTCAATCGCACTGTCCATGTTGCTGACAAAAACACTGGACAGCACCAGTCCCTATACTGATCCCTGAGGGACACCACTTGTCTCCAAAGTCTGGAGGGACATTGAACCATTGACTGCAACTCGGATGTGTCCATTTACACAACTTCCATAGTTGCTATGAAGATGTCATTCAAGCGCTTGCTGAAGCTGAGATGAACACGCAGTTATGAATGAGAAATAGAGTATCTGAGACGTTATTTCAGCTTGTAGTTTGGTTATGAAATACTTGAAAAACTCAATCTGAAAATGACGTGTCGGAGTAGGGATGTCTGAAATACGTGGTATATTGAGTCATTTATCCAAAAAGGAGCACCACTGTTGCTTGCAAAATCTGCTTTCTCCATATGATGAAAATAAGTATAAAGAAGCAAATTCCTTAAGTTTTACAATTGGTAGGCATATTTTTATGGGCCTCTATGTAGTACACTGAAATATGAGGTATTAGTAAAAAGTCTTACTTTTTACATGATTTTAAATACAATGTCTCAGTAGTGCAGCTGGTTTGAATTTATCACAAAATTGAAAACACTCAGAGTTCCTTTGCAGTGCATGCTTTTTGTTAATTGTTTTGTTATCTAGAAAATTTAGTTGACTGTTTGTAAGTGTAGGAAAGAAACATTGACTCTGAAACATGGCAAGTAAAGGTATGTTTCACTCTGTTCTCCTACCTTTAAAAAAACTCAGTATTATAGGCTAACCTAGTTGCTGGGGGCAAGTTAAAAACATACAATTCTGTAAGAATACTATGAACATTGCTTGAGGTTGACTTGCCGATTTATTGGCTAACTTAAATCACAGCTATCAAAATTGAGTGGTCTATTTTACAGCTTGGGTAAAGGAATGTTTTCCTTATCTGCTTCCCTTTTTTGACATGCAGTTGTTTTGTCCTCTGCAACTAAGAGATGAATTATTAGGTAGTGGCCCTGTGTCATGATATACCACAGATGTAGGAGGATTTGAATACACTTTCTATTTAAAGGATACTGTCAACTGTTGAAGGCCATAACATTCATCTTCCTGCAGGAAGGAAAATCCCATACAGCGCTTCTGGAGGCTACCATTTTAAATGTCTATTTTTAGATATCTTGCATTTGTAAGGCTTTGTTTAGTTGTGGTGGTGTTTTAAAATTTTAAGTGGTTTAGGATTGTTTAAAGGTCGGGGTAAGAGTTTTATGCCTGTATACCTATAGCTTTCCTTCCAAGTATTGTTTAACTTTATGGTAATGATTCACCAGTGCATAAACCCCATTTGAGAGGCATCAATTCTCACAGCCTTTTACCAGCTGCTGCTATAGAGTTGTTTCTAAAACTACTGTATTTAAGTGCCTTTTTCAGTTAATGTACTTAGCAGTACTCTGTATCTTGTTACTTTCATTAATATTAGAAGAAAATGCAAAGCTTTCATAAACAAGAGAGAAAGAATAAATTGGAAAATATTTGTGTAAGTCCTGCTGGTGACTTTTAAGAACTTGAGTAGTAGCTAAACTTACATTAATGCTTTGTTTTTCTGATACGACTAGCAGCTCTTTTAATGGTTCATTTTAAGCCTTGGAAGTGGACAAGTGCTATGCATGCTTGTTTGGTTCCCTTACATAATCCATATTCGTTTGAAACTGTAGCACACTCATCCTGTGCTGTAATGTTGATCTAATTGTTCAGTATAATATCTTTAGGAAAAAGAAAGAAACTTTTCTGCTAGCAGTACTTGAAGAAGCTAGCTTAGCTTATTGCTACTGTAAGTCTCAGAAAGTGAGAAAGACAAACACCTGTAGCAGGACACCCTCTATGTTTCCAATTTGGTGAAATTCTCCTCTTGCACTTGAAAAGAAGTCTCTAAGAGGTGAACTGTTTTCCTTTGAGTCTCTATGGAAGGTGAGGAATGACTGATTAAAATCAGCAGATGAGAAGACAAAAACTTTGCCCTCTGTAGTGTTAGAGTTTCCTGAAGTATTCTGGTAACATTACATCGTTCAGGATGTTGATAAATGTGAAAAATGATTTGACATGCAGCTGTTGACAAATATCTCTACTGTAGAAGATCAAGGCATACATTATACTACTGGTGTTTCCTAATCATTAAATACTTGTGATTTCTTTAGGGATAATACAGTGGTGGTGATGCTCTCCTAAGGATTGAGGTTCATAAAATTTAATCTGAATTTTGCAGCTGAATTTTGCATTACAAGATGACACTAGGCAGTGTAATAGAAATAGAATGCAAAGGAATGTCACCTCCTGGAAAATGTTTTCATACTCTATCACATTTTATATGAATGTGGGTAAAATATAGTGAGAGGCTGTACAGAAGGAGATAGAGTAAAAATGCATGGGAAGTTCAGAGTTTCCAGATTATTTTTTTTAATATTATCTTTATCATCACTTGAAATTATTATATATTACCTTATTTTTTTTTCAAATAGATTTAATTTCTAAAACATATTCACAAATTTGGGGAATATCAGGAGGGGTTGTTTGGGGTTTTTTTTTGGTGTTCTTTTTTTCTAATAACTCATGACTGGAGTGCTTCACAAAAGTGTACAAAGTACATGTATGTTTAAAATGCTGAATTCAGGCTCTTACCCAAAATTACCTATGTACCCATATAAATCCCATTTTGACTGAAAAATCAATCCAGGCTGAGTTTACTGTTATTTCAGGGATTTCTAAAGGCAAGTGAAGAGTAAAGGGAACAAAGTTTTAGTCTGTTGATCTCCACATTCAGACATTTTAGGGCTTTCCATTCCTTTGAAGAATATCTATTAATCAGTTTATCTGAAATGTGCAAGCGAAGTTTCAAATATTAATTCTTTGAAATAAACGGAAGCAAGTAAAACTTCCTGTTGTATGATGATTTTGATTCCAAGATCTTGAAATTTCCATTAGGTCATTTTCAAGTAGAGTATTAGAAGAAAATTAAGACAAAAAAGTGTGAATAGCTAATCATTAGTTATCATTAAAGTAGTATAAATAATGCTTATATCTGAAACAATGATTTGGGATCTGTTTACTGGTTTCCAGACAAAACTTTCAGTGAAGCATGAAAGATTTCAGGGGTGGTCAACAATTTGTAGTACATGTCAAAGCTATAACAGAGTTTTCTTCCTAATGTTTATAACTTAAGGTGACAAGTGCTGCCTTGAGGTACTAATCAAGAAAGTTTCTTTTCTCATTCTGACCTCTTTGTAGACCTTTTGGTTTTTAATGGTCTGATCTGTAACGTGAGTTACAATTATCAATGCTTCTCTAAAGTACAATTTTATGCTCATAGACTGGAGGAACTGGCTGTGATTTGTGCTAATTATGACATTCCTCATATTGTCAACAATGCATATGGAGTTCAGTCTTCAAAATGTATGCATCTTATCCAGCAGGTAGGAGCTGTGTATTTCCAATAGCTTTTTTTTTTAATGACAAGTATAAGTAAATTTGACTGTAGACAACACTAGCAGATTTTATCAGATGTTTCACAGCTTTGAGACTAATCCCATGTGTGTGGTATTTGGACAACTTTCTAAGAGAGCAGAGCAGAGGGAAATGGAACTTTAAAATAGCATTTGTTATTTCTGTTATGTGCTTTTATGTAATAAATGCAAATTTATTTAGGTTTTGTTTATGTTTGTCTTTCATAATTTCTTAAAATAGTTCCTAAACTTGATTAAAAAATAATGGATCATACTTTAATAGGGATTAAGCCTTCAGCAGAACGTGAGACATAGTTTCAACTGAAAATACAAGATTCTACAGCAACACTGTCTAGATGATGTCATTTCAAATGTTGGCACAGAAAACAGCTGAGGAAACCGGGTTAAGCTCAGTGTTACGCTTGAAAACATTTAATTTCTGCTGCTCTTCATTTTGAAGATGAGGCTGCTTAATATCTGACGTCAACCATGAAACAGAATTTTTGTGGTTTTCTTCATTGCAATGTACATGCAGTGTTTCTAAAGTATTTCTCTTTTCTCTTGGTGCCCATAACAAAAGAATAGGGGGTAATTTTTTAACAGGATACAAGACTCTATTTAACTTGCACAGGTTTAGTGAAGTTTCAACATAAAGGGGGCTGTGGAATTGCTGAAGTTTACTGCATGAAATGTACCTAGTGATAATTTTTCAGACTATGAAGCTGCAAATGGAACCATTACTGTGTGGTTTTCTGGTTTTGGGGGTTTGTTTGTTTTCTTGGCTTCTTGATCGGTTATTTAGGGTTTTTTTGTTGGTTCTTTGGTTATGCAAATGTATACATTTGAGCTCTGATTTGGTTTACATTTATTTACAAAATTGTATGCCATGGAAAATGTACTGTCTGTGAGGAAGTAGTTATTAATGAAGGAAATGTACATGCTGAGCACAGTGTCAAAAGAACATGCAAGAATATCACAGGAAAGAGCTTTTGAGACCATTTCATCCGTCATGCTTTTCCTCTGGTGGTCTCCTGTCAATTAAATCAAATGATAGCTGCTGGCATTCTTCTTCCCATCAAAAAGCTGACAAACTCGGAATGCTTCTTCATATCTCCCAAGCACTAAGCTATTGAAACAGAGAAATAATAAGAGGTTTAGATGAATTTGCTTTTATCACTCTTTTTGCCATAGGTATGAATTCTGTTTTATTTCTTGGGTTTAGTTTGTAGTACTTTAATATATATGTATTTAAATATACTTTAATATGTATGTTCTTTAATATGCTTTTCAGGTTCTGTTATGCTGCATACTTTTTAATTGTAGATTCTGCAGTACATCTTCAATTTGAGTAATACGCTACTGTGAACTGTATATTTTTTCCTTTAAGAATATGTGAGGGGCTAGGTATACAGACATTTTGTTTTCTGGGAAGTGAGGAAACCTGCTTTGGAGGACGTTATCTGGATCTTGATTTTGAAAGCAGCCTTATTAGGAGTGCTGTCACAGCCCACTTGGTTTAATGCAAATTTATACACATATCAAGAAAAATCTCCTTCTTTGCTAATGAAGCATTAACCTGTATCCCTTTACTGTGAGAATCTGTGAAATACTTTGAGTTGTGCAGTTTTAACTGTGCAAGTCCCATTAAATTCCAAGGGTTTTCTTTTTGGTTGCTGAAAATAAACTACACTTAAACTTGCAAGAAGTAAAATCAATATTTTAAATCACAGCAGAATAAGAATTTGTAAGGTACTATGTAAGAAGACAATGGTAATAATAGTGAGCAATGCTAAGAAAAGGTCATATTAAGATTTTTAATTTTTCATCACAAATACAGTATGTGAGAGTGTTTTGGGACTTGTGTTTAGTTACATTGCTGCTGCATAGTTATGATGCTGTCACTTTTCCTATTTCCTAACGTATGCTGTGAATTTTATTTTTCTCTTTTTCCTTTTTGATGAAGGGTGCTCGAGTAGGCAGATTAGATGCTTTTGTTCAGAGCTTGGACAAAAATTTTATGGTTCCAGTAGGTGGTGCTATCATTGCTGGCTTCAATGAATCCTTCATTCAGGAGATCAGCAAAATGTATCCAGGTAATTAGGTCATGGGTTGATTTCATCCATACAAAATAACTGTTGAAAACTTGATTGCTTGCTTTCACATAAAATTTATTTCTGCTAATTTAATCTGTTTATTTTTTCATTTTGCTTGCTTTGTTGGTGGTTGTTTTTTTGTTGTTTTTTTTTTTTTCTCCAGGAAGAGCATCTGCGACTCCTTCTTTAGATGTCCTCATTACACTTCTGTCTCTAGGTGCCAGTGGCTACAAACAGTTACTGAAAGAGAGAAAGGTAAGGTTTTTGGCAAGCAGCATGTTCTTGAAGTCAGCTGTTAACAAAGTCTTGTTGCAGAGTTGCTTTGTGTAGTAAATTCAGTTTCTGTCTCAAAACATACTGAACTTCTGAGCCCACAGCTCTGAATCTGGACAGTATGATAAAATGACTTCTTGTATAAACAGTGCTCATGAGTACGTATGATTTTGATGTTGTTTTCCAGACTAGAAAGCTAAACTGAGGTACTGCACTATCTTGTACAGTATTCATACTTGTTTTAAAGTGTGATTAATACAGTAGAATTTTGCCCACAAAAGCTGTATCTGAGAAGTACTGTGCTGTGTTATCATGGTCACACTGCTTCCATGTCTGAAGCATGAGACTGGACACTCCGAGGCAAACCAGGGGTCTCTGCTCTTCTTAATTTGGCCCTATTGTGCCTTTGTGCTACAATCGTGCTTAATTAAATGCTTGTATACCACATTCTCTGGAGAGTCACAGCTTCTGGCTAGGTTATAAGCACTGTGCATGCCACAAAAAGAGGAAAAATACTGTAACTTAAGAGTGTTCATCTAGATACATAGTTAGGTTTCTTCTCTGCCTGTCACAGACTGTGTTTTATGTTGGGTATAACTGCATTGCACAAACAGGTAGTGGTCTAAGCTTGGAAACTACATCTTCAGTTGTCATTAATTCTGGACATATACACCTGATTTTGTTATGTAATATCACAGAATATGTGATATTATATAAATAGAATACATTCTGTAGAGGGAAATGCTGAGAGTTAAGTACTGTTAATAGTAAAATCATGCATTACATGTTCCATTATTTTATTTAGAAACTAAGTTTCAGTTGTTTCCTACTGACAGCTTGCTAATGTGTCTGATTACCTGGTGGGGCAATAGTGCTGGATGCTCTGACTTGTTTCTAGCTACTTGTGGATGCATCCAGAAATTCTGTGCTGGAACTGAAATCCCATGGGAATAACTAGACTATAGAAAAAACAAACCTGCTTTAATGGCCTTACAACAACTAAGAAGCGATCTATACAACTAAATGGCTTACGAAACACTAAAAGCAATTGCCACTTTTGCCACTATTGCAATAGAGTTTCTAACATTTTATTCCCTACTGTTGTATGTATTGCCATGTATGGTTTGTGTCTTCATTAAAATAGAATTCTATTTTTCCCCCACTTCACTCTCATCTACAAAAGAATCCCAAGTGAACTGATCATGTTTTCTGCAAAGCTAATTTTGCTGTTAGATCTACACTGGTAGCAGAGATATAATGAGCAGTATACATATTCTCTAAGTCATAAATCATAATTATTTTGTAAATAAAATGTCCTAATAAATAGCTGCATATATTGACTCGTGATTTTCTTGGAAGTAGAAGTCTAAAGTGAATAAAGCATTATATTTTTACAACTTCAGGTCTTTTTATTTCAAATGTGAGTATACTCTATAAACACAGCCTTATTTGTGACATAAATACGTTTCTTTTATTTGATTTGCTTATAAATAGAAACTTTTTTCTTTTTTTTGCTAAAATTTGTTTGTTCCTGAGTTATAAAAATGTAATAGTGGTATTTTATTGCCTGTGCTGTGTGAAAGCAACGGCAGAGCTATTAGGCTCCCAGCAGGAGCTATTTATAGCTTGACATTGAGTACTCCTTTCTGTATCGGTGCAGCTGCACCTACTTGCACAAAAAGTCAGCTATAAAAAAACTTCAATGTTTTTCGTTTTTACCATATCCTTACTGACATGGGTGTTACTTCAGGTTATTTGAGTTTAAGCCAGAGAGGGCAGAATATTGCTGAGAAGAGTTTAATCTTGCAGAACCAAGAGAAGAGAGAGCCTGCACAGTTTTTCTTTTACACAGATGAATGGTTTAATACAGGCAGGGAAGATACCATACAAGGGAGAGGAGCATGCACATGGAAAAGGATTTTCTGACAAGCTGACAGTTGTGGGGTGCGCAGTTGTCCAAGAGCATGAGGTTGTATGTTGTGATATGAAGGAGTAAAATGGTGCAATGGATCGGAGGAACCAGAGCAGGGAAGTAACACACATGCTGTCCAGGTGTCTGAATAAAGGTGGCCATATATAAAAGCATAATAAGAAATATTTTCAACAGTTGTATTTAGCCTCGCTGTTTTCAGAGAAAGGATGGAAAGCAACCACCAACAGTAATATTTTCTTGCTTATTCTATATTTTCAGCATTCCTTTTTATAGAACAATAGTTTTCTGATCTCAGTAGGAAATTCTAGGTCCTTCGGTAATGCAGATAATGACAGCTGATTCATAGTCAAATATGTTAATATCTTTGCTTTTAAAGAACTCATAATATTATGTAAATGTTATGGTTTTGTAGCAACAACTTTGATTTCCTCAGCACAGGCTCTGTTGTGTCCCATATTCTGCATACCTGGGTCTTCAAACTCTCTGGTTTTGAACATGTATGTGTGTGAGGGACCCAGGCCACACGTAGCGGATTTAGTGGTTACATTGTATTGCATAAACACTAGAATTCAGTTGCTACCTCAGAATTGCTGGAGAGCAAGGACAAGGACGCTACGTTCAGGATTTATGTTCAGGACCTTACGTATCAGTTTTGATTCTGATAGGAATAAATTGTTTGTACAGTTCAGTGTGAGTTTATATTGCTGCTCTATTTATGATTGAAGAGAAAAGCTATTTAATGCTGGATATTAAAAATGTAAGATTTTAAATATTTTTACAAGCCAGACATTTGTTACTACTCTTTGTCTAGTCAGCTTGCTGTGCTGTAGTTTATCAGATGTGGGAATATTGCAGGATTTTCCTTGTGTGAAATATGTGGAACCATATTTAAATTTTAAAGTGGCTGAAGGCAAGATAGTTTGACTGAATGTAACCATTATCTTAAATGGTGTCGTGTAGTTAAGCAAGTGCCAAGTGTGAATGGAAGTTTCAAAGAGGCCTGTGTATCTAAGGTGTGCATTGGAGAGGTATGGCCCCTAAAGAGCCTGATCTCAAGGTCTTGTAGGTGCTGATGAGAAAATATGTTGATCGGTGTTGTTAAAGACCTTTAGAAGGGGAAAAAAAAGCATGGTGATTGTCAACATTAGTGTTACCTTATCAGGTTGCCAAGACTTGCTGAGCGGTTTTTGTTAGATTACTTACATAAGATACAAAGATTTAAAGGTTCCATAATTAACTTTGTATTTTAAAAACTTTCCAGTATGTTATAAATTCAGAACAAAATTCTTGATCTTGCAATGCAAAAGAATCTCAGTATGAGGGTATGTGGTATTTGTAGGTATCACACATGTACACGTACAGTGTCTATCATGTGTTTGGCTGCATTTCAAGAAGGTAAGCCTGCTACCGGGGTTTCTGGGGCATGTACTAACACGTCTCCATGCTCAGCACTGCAGCCTCTCTTTGCATGAGGTGGTGTGGTCTGATCAGCTCACAGATCAGATGCAGCTGGTCAGTCTGGTATGCAAAGCAGAAGAGAGGTTATGATGGTTGCATTATAAACAGCTGCTGCAGTAAACTAATTTAAGATGGGACCAGACCAGTCTCAGGTACAGGATATGTGAGTTGACAGTCTGCATCTAGTGCACAGAGGTAGTTAAATTGCTCTTCTGCAGTGTTGTCCTCAGCACCATATGCAACTGTATGGCTGTTCTAGGACAACTCTTTTCGGGTGAGAGTGAACAGGGGGGAAGGCGGAATGTTACAGACTCAGAGTGTAAGCAAGCGGGGTGCTTACAACCAGGTAGGATAGTTTCAGCCATGCACAGAAAGCTTTCTGGCCTTCACCAGTTCTCTGTCACCTGATATAGGACTAATGGCATATTTAGTATCCCTGTGTCCTACTTTTTCTCTGGAGTTACTGGCTTTTCCTGTAGTGATTTCCCTCTAGTTATTTTCATTTGGAAGAGCAATGCCTATCACATGAACAAATGAATGAATAATGAATACTCACCCATAGTTAGTGTATATTCTATTAAAAAATAGATTTATAATGTAAATACATTACGATGCAAATATTTTTAGTAACTGGTATGAAAGTCCTTGAAAATATTTTTGTAGATTCTTATAACTTTATGTATTATTATATATTATATATGGAAGTAAGCCATTTTTATATGGAAGCCATTTATGTATATATAATACATACATATAAGTAAACCATTTATATATAATGGAAGTAAGCCATTTTTTCTCAATAATTGAGTTGTTTGGCATGTCTGATGCACACACCACTGTTGACTTGTTCTTTGTATTTTTTGAGGTCATTTATTGGTTTAAGTGCTAGAAGGGCCAGAAAAAGTGCAAGACCTTTTCATATAGTTTAGCATTCATTTCACTAGCCTGGTGAGGTTGCTTTGTGATAAGTTTCTAAGGGGAAAGAGTGAATTAAATCATGAAACTTAACTGACATTTAGTGCTTGGGCTGTTCAATGCAAGTTTAGCAGGATAGTTAACTTCATTGGAGAAAACTTGAGTGCCTACCACAGAAAATCGATTATGTAGGAGTTCATTTGTATGTAATTGCTGAGGGTGCTTATGCATTTTCCACGTAACAGAAATATTTTGTAATAGAGGTTGGTTATAGATTTGACCTCACAAAAATATATTGCTTTTTTGCTTTTTTTATTTAAAGGCCATTAATCTATTTTGCAACAAACTGCTTAACTTCTGAAACTATGAAATATCTAGAGGGCTTCCAATCCAAAGGTGCAAAATAATGTCTTTCATAAAAGCAAGAAGTTTTGAATTTGTGTTCAGGTAGTTTCAATCAAACCAATTAGAATGCATACTTGGATCTTTTGGAGGGTTTTTTGGCCATCAATCCATTCTCCCTTGTTTTAACACATTTCTATGTATGCAAAGGCTCATCTACTAACTTAGATATTTAATCTTAATACATTTATACAGTGGGTAGCTGGTTATACAGACTGGCAGTTCTTTTGGTAATAAATACTGCAAGAAATGCAACTGAGAATTCCCTAGGTACAACACACAAAAAATAATTACGTGGGATTTTTTTTTCTAGTACAGATTTTTCTCAATACTAATTTCACAAATTATATCTCCATAGTAGACACAGTTTATGTATATTTCCATAAGGCTTTGCTTCAGTTGTAGAATAGCCAGCAGAGGGAGCACAAATTAATGTATGATTTGGATTTTTAAAAAATACTAATAAAATGGTTAATAAATTGGTGATGCTTATTGTGGAAAGCGAGTAAGAAGAGAGTAATGTGTTTATATCAGTGGGGGACCAGAAAGGAGCCAAAAGTATGAACATTTGAAGCATAAATATTTTTCAACTTCTGCTAGTGAACTGTAAATAAACTTTGATGAATTGAAGCCACAAAATCACTTCATTTACACATGCCTCTGAAAAATGGTTCCTCATAAATTTCAAGTTCTGTGAATTAACCATAGATGCCTCTCAAAATTTTTGTTGTTGTTCCAAGTATTACAGAAGCTTTATGCTCATGTTGATAGTGGAATCAACAGCCTAATTCAGTTAGACTGTAAGATGGTCCTTTTTCCTCTCTGGCTGAATTCATTCCATGGTGTTAGGAAGAACAGAGGAGGAGCTGTGTTCATTTGGTCACACATGAAGTGAGACTAGGTTCACTGCAGTGGCTCAAAAAGAGCAGCTGTAACATTCTTTTAAACTTAGCTACCGCAAAGGTTATTTGGTTTCGTAAGATCTTTGGCAGGTTCTGCTCAGAAACATACTTTTGATCACAAGCTCTAATTTGTATCTGTCAGAGTCCACAGGTCCGAACAGGATAATGGTCTACAAACAGCATAGGCAAGTCTATTTATAGAATGACAAATCACTTGTCCAGAAGTTGATGAGAATGCTTAAATAGTCAGTCATATTGAAGCAGATGAGCAGCACAGTCTTTATGGCCAGAAAGAGGAAAAATCTGGTGTTCAGTATCTTTTAAAAAGACTACCCAGTATCTGTATCTTTTTTGCTAGTTTTTATGACAGTCTAAGTATTAAGAAGGATAGAAAAGAAGCCAAAGAATGCAGCAAGAAGAATAGTGTTTATTCTCACTCTGTCCATAAGTGTTTTGAGCTGATATGTGAAAAGGAAGATATTAAACTGAGAAAGACCATCAGCAATTATCATAGATTACCACTGGGGAACAGGGAGGAAATAAAATATAGATGAAGAGAAGCAGCCTTTTATGTGCAGCATGACTTGTATCTGAGCCAAAACATTCATGAATCTGAGCTTTATGGCACTTTCACAACAAAGGTGCAGTCTAATCAAGTGATAGCAGAAATCCAGGTAACTCCATTCTTTTAGTAAGCCTGAACAGGAAGGGCTGATTCCAGAAAGAGGGCTGGCTAGACAACAGAACTGAGTATTCAGGAGAGTACGTATTGTGTGAAACGAAATACCTTCAAATGTGTTCTCATAGCCTTCCCCTTAAGAGGCTGTATTGCCATTCTCATACAGAAAAAGAAATCTATGCACTAGTGGCAATTGTGATTGTGTGATACGTGATAACAGCATGCACTGTTTTTAGTCTGGAATGTATTAATAGAGGAAAAAGTAAGGAGCAATTTGCCATAACGTGGTCATCTGTTCAGGCTCTTTGGCTCAAGTGGCTGGGGTGGGGGAAGCTCTTGCAGGGGTGTGGGGGCTGGGACCTGCTGTGCAGTGGCAGTCTCCTGAAGATTTTACCTGAATAGGTTTCAGGGCTGCAGAGAGAATGACTGACATCCCAAGCACTTAGATTAGACCAGATAGAGAGCTTTGTAAGCAGCTTGAGGGGGAAAAATAGTGTTCAGGAAATGGAGCTGTTCCTTTATAGAGTGATTTCAGAGAATTGTCTGGCCCACTTATTTGGTACACATGAAAAGGGGATCAGCTGTACACCTGTAGGATATAATGGAGACTTAACAGTTTTGTGAAATAGGAGCTGTATTCTCTGTTTGATATCTAATAATGAAAATACTGCATTTTTTTTTTTTTCAGGAGATGTTTTCCTATCTTTCAAGCGAGCTGAAGAAGCTGGCAGATAACCACAATGAGAGACTGTTAGACACACCACATAATCCCATTTCCTTAGGTAATTGCTGGGGTTTATCTTTTACAAAAATTTTAATATGATGTGCATTCATAATGCACTTTCACATACAGTTCCTGTATATTAAGCATAGTTCACTGCCCTCCATTGAATTGTTCTTAGACTGATACGAAACTATTGAACCTACTACAAAAGTAGAGGAGTGACTTGGGCCCTGTATTATTTTACAAAATTACTCCTGTCCAACATACTCATTTATTGATGATCAAGGCAGGCAGAAGATGTTAGCATTAGTAATAGTTTATAGAAAAGTAGATTTAAAAATAAATTATGGTATAATTATTTTACCAATCATCTTATAGTGCTGTAAAAGAGATTATGGAATTCCTACTCAAGGTATTTGTTCTAATCAAAAATTCTGCTGAACACCAAAGTAATATTGCCTACCTGTGCTGCATCTACCTTACATACAGGCAGTCTAACCAAAGAAGTAATCTATGACAACCTGTGGGAAAATTAAAAATGATTAAACATAGCATTTGTATTTCTTTTTGTATCTGAGCACAGATATTTGGCTAGATTTTTATTGTTGGAAAACAGCTTGTCCGCTGTGGTTCTTTGGAGAATATAAGCTTTGTAGTAGTTTTGACCTGACCTTTTGTTATTTTAGCCATGTCACTGAAGAATCTAGATGAAAATAATGATGCTGCTGTTACCCAGCTTGGATCTATGCTTTTCACAAGACAAGTTTCTGGAGCAAGGTGAGGATGCTATGAATTTGAAAGAATTGAGGGGTTGTATTAGCATATATTTCCTGAAATCCTATAATATTTGTTTTGCACCAATTCTCTCATGATTACAGATTACTGTTTGACAATAACCAGTCACAGAGTAATACCCTCTTCTAATCACTGTTATCTACTAGTAATGTCTACCTGCCTGAGCTAGCAGCAAGGGCCCCTTTGTTAGCTTTGGTAGGCTAAATAGATAATCTATGCCCATTTAATTTAGTGTCATTATTCCCTAGTACCCCTTGGTTTCATTTAGTTTCCGGCTGTTGTCTGATCTTACAGTTAAGTTGTAACCTACTTAGGGAAGATCTTTGTTTTGTTTATTGCAGCACACATACGGTTGTGCTGGATGCTGGGGAATAAGCTTTTAATACCCTACATAGCTTTTTGTCATAAGGAAGAAAATCCTGCTTTCTGTAACTAACTGTGCTAAAAAAGAAAAAGAAATAAAAAAGTCTACAACCTGCTCCAATCTGAGATGAAATTATTCTTAGAGGCACTGGTACATGGAAATGCAAGCCAAATAATTTTTAATGGTTTTGGTTTAAACCTTTTAGAAGAAGAGAATGATTTAAAATTTGTTTTGGCAGGATTCCTTAATCTGAATATTATTGCTGCCATGCTAACTTCTGCCATAGACTTAATGTCATTTTTTTGTAGCAGAGCTGAGTGTTTCCACATCAGAAGGTATGCTTCATTAGCTTGGATTATTCCACTTCCTGCACAAATGAATGACAGTAAATCTATATGTACTGTAGTTAGATGCTCTTTTTAATTTGCCTGTCCTAACTGTGCCTTGTTCTGCAATTTCAGCCATCTTTGGCAAAAATGATTCAAGAAATTCAATTTTGGAAGTTAAAACGCTCCAGTTCTTTGCCTGATATAAATAAGGGTTTCAGTTTTTTCCTTTTTTGATCTAAACCAACTAGTTCTTTTGTAGTATATACAGTTTGACCTGGCATTTCAACAGATTTTAAATGTTGTGCTGAATGTCAGTGGTAGGAATATCCACTCCCTACTTTGGCAGCATACAGGTTTTTGCATAACCTGTGGGCAGAGCACTTGGACAGAGGAAGGATCTGCTAATCCTAGTGGTATTTGTTTGAATGCAATTTCTTTTATGAACTGCAGGGAATGTCTCTGTAGAGGTATCTCTGTAGAGGTAGTAAATTCTTATCCATTGATTGTTAACTTCTTGTGTAGGCTTTAACTATAGCCACAAGGCAAGTTGTTCCTTTAACAAGTAAGGATGTGGATTTATCAGGAAATGGATATGTACTGGAAGTGTGGAGAAATAGGGTGTAATAGGTAGAGGCTCTTAGCATGAGGAAGAGGTAAAAGCGGTGACAAAAAGTATCTGCGACAAGGGAAGGAATGAATATGAGGCTAACATCATAGGCTGGGGAAAAAGATCTGATGGAGAGGAAGGAGTGGGATGAAGTTGGGATCCTGAGCACTCTGAATCACATGAACTCAAGACATTTTGGACTGCCAAGCAGACGTCTGCACTAAAGCTGCTGTCAGTATGGTGATCCCAAGGAGCTCAGGGTCACCACATTGCCTAAGGAGCAGTGAACTGATGCAGGTCAGAGACAAAAGCGGGTCAGATAGTTAGGGCTTGTTATGGATTAAGAAGGTTTGCTGCAGGTGTATCTTACCCCTCTACGCTGGGAAGTTCATAAATACCAATACCAAAGACCTTAATTTAACTGAAGAGGGGAAGGTGCATGCACATATGCATACAGACTTGAGCTAAGTCAGGATCTACTACTACTGTCAATTCACAGTGATGCTTGGGCACTGATTTGGACAATGCCTGATGTAAGCCTGCTTACATTGATATGTTTAGAGTTAAGAGATACTACACTGTATAGGAACTTGTTAAAATGTGTCCATCATAGTATATCACATATGCTATCCAAGGCATCTTTAACTGAATCACATTTTTGTTTGTTTCAGGGTTGTTCCCTGTGGATCTGTACAAACAGTGAATAACTACACTTTTAAAGGCTTTATGTCACATACAAATGACTATCCCTGTGCTTACCTCAATGCTGCCTCAGCAATTGGAATAAAAAAGCAAGATGTAGATGTATTCCTAAAAAGACTCGACAAGTGTTTGAAGACTTCTAGAAAAGAAGGAAAGAAAGAAAACACTGTAAATGAAACAAGTAATTCTGATACAGGCACAGAACAACTTGAAGAGTAGAAGATACTGATTTAGTAACGGAGGAAAATATGCCCTTGTTTGAAGTATGTCAGGTTTGTAATGGGTTAGCATTATGAATCTGCAGTGCAGAAAATTTATTCCTGGTCTGAAAACAACAACAACAAAAAGTTGGGCGAAATTCAGCTTTAAAAAAATGAGGTGATTCTCTAAGGCAGAGGGCCAGACACAAGTTTTTTCGCAACATATCAATGCGCTTAGTATCTGCCGAAGTAAAGCTTTACATTCATAAAGACCTTGAGCTGACTCTTCAGTCTGTGAGTGACTGGCCCAGTGTTCAGCAAATTCTAGAATGCTTATTTACATGTTTTTGATTAGGAAGATTTTCTGTAGCAGTTGTTGAATTCCTTCCTAGGTGTAGACCATCCAGCAAGAAACATTTCATTGCTCTCAAAATAACTTTGTTTTGCATCTGCACACTTTTTAAATTTCATTTTTCAGACCTACTTAAGTTTTAGGATAGTCCTTAAGGAATACAGTGTTAAAACTGCTTGAGGAAGTGATGGAGTTAGAATAGTAGTGTTTTTCAGGTGTTCTCAGCTCATGAACTACCTAGAACAAAGCAGCCCTCAGTGGCAAAGAAAAACCTAGAATACCTCATATCCTGTCAGCACTCAGCTCTTGGAAGTATTTGCATAGTTCAGCAACCCACAGGAATTCTGATAATGAAAGCAAGGTGTTGTGGAGTCTGTTTTTTTTTTTTAACTTTTTATTTTTTCCTATTTCATCTTTTCTTTGGTAGGGTGATCAGGTCAGAGACTCACTGAAAAGCAGGAATGCCTTGTGGGATTAATACAGGTGTTTCAAGAGCCAGTGATATCTGAGGGTATTTTGGCATTTTCAGTCCATCATTGTTAAAATTTATAGACTTCCAGTTCTGAAGTGCCTCGTGCCATTTGGTACTGTTGCTCCTGTGTCTGTGTGCAGTTGCTGATTTCAATTAATTAAGCAGACAATAGATTCAGAGTCTGTTCCTGAAACAAAGGTTCCGTATCCCTGGGGTGACAGTGCTGTAGCTTGCAAAACTAGTAAAACTAGTTATTCTTAAATGCAGTTACTACATTGTATATAATTTCTGTCATTTTCTGTTCAAAGTGAGCCTCATGTTCAAAGACATTTCCTTTGTCTGTAATATAGTGATACTTGGGATACCACAGTTAATGAGTTCTAAATGTCAGGAAGTATTCACGTTACTTTGTTTGGTGGGATCTGAGGCATATATCCTTCAGAGCCCTCTCTGTAAATTGCTTAATCAAAATCTTGGTGCTCTTAAAAGGATTGTATGTCCAGCGTGTTCAAATGAATTGACACAAGAGGTCATGTTAATATGCAGAAGTTAATGATATGCTAATTGTCGTGAAGGTGCTCTCGCTTAGTGAGGTCCATCGTATCTTAAGCTTAAATTGAACTGCTGGTTCTACATGGTTATTGCTACATTTACACGTTAGATTGCTTAAGCTTGTGAAGGTATGGCTCCCCGGACTACAGTCACAGTTGTTATTTGCTGTGCAAACACATCCTCGGAGAAATGTAATATAACTTGGCCACTGAGTCCTTGTGCCTATAAGGAGGTGTAAATGTATTTTTCTTTTCTTTCTCCCTCTCACTCTTCCCCCTGCCCTTTTTGTATTTAATTTGATATCATGTTATACCTCAGCTTTTCCAGTCAGTAAAACTCTTGCACAAGCTTGAGAGCCAAAACTGCAGCTCACTGCCTCAGTATTCAGTATACTGGAGTAGCCAGTGAAAACCACAAAGCCTTAGTGATACCTTTCTTCCTGGTTTTTGATATTGCTGTTCTGTGCCTAAATGAGTAGAAATTACCAGTCTAGATGACTAGTCCCAGAATGCAAACATTAGAACTGTTGTTACAAGAGTTTATGGAGGTGCACAGTAGCAGCTAAAATAAGCATTTGATGGATGATATCCAGAAAACAAAGAAAACAGCAGTTACCTCCTCTGAGAGGAAGAAACCTCTCCCTTTTGTGGTCTCATAAGTCTGCTGCAAATAATCCACTCACATAGATTGAACTGCTTTCTCAGGTAGTGATTTCTGGTCTTTGAAATGTTTCTCATTTGAAATCAAAGCTGAAAATTTCCACAAATCTCTATAAACAAGTACCCAGGAAAAGAATTAAGTGGTTTGTTTTGATTTTGACCTTTTAAACCTTTTTGTTATTTAAACAAATAATATGATTATTTTAATGTAAAAATAAATTAATTTGTGTGTCATTAACTTTTTTTCACAAATCTTAGTCACCTGAAGTCAGGAAATTGAAAGTATTTTGAGAAATGTGCCCCACCATAGTGTATAAACTCTTGAACTAAATATTCGTGTATGTATTACTTTGGTAAACTGTTGTACGAGTTTGCAGTTTTATTTGCTTGCTTTGTCCCTGTAAATGCCTTCAGTTTTAATTAATTACTCATTTTTTAGAGATAGAAGCAGTATATAATGTCACTATAAATATAATGAAATTTTAATTCAAATGGCAATATACTTTTAAATAAATGGAGAAGACCTGGTTATTTATGGCATATTTGAAACAGGAGATTCAGTACATGATAAAAATATTTTTCAAGGAAAAGCATAAATCACTTACTCTCGATTCACCAGTAGCTGTAATAATGTGGTAAAATAACACTGGAACATACACCCATGAGCAGAGTTTTCATTTCCTTTGTATAACAGATAGAGGGAGATTTCATGACTCTGCCAGGTCTCTCACTGAAAGTAGTGCTGTGAAAATGGTAGTAACATGGGGATAGGTTTGCCAAAATACATAGAGTAAAACAAATATATTAACAGTATTTGCCTTCTATGAAGATCCTTCAAAGTTTGTGCAGTGAAGTAAGAAACCTGTTAATTAACTGTGCAGCCCTTTTCCTAATCTCTACATAGGCATGTGTCAATAAAGGCTTCTACATACTTCAGTCTCCATGAGTACATGCTGTCTCCAGCATCCATATTACTAGCGAGACACCTAGGAAAGCTCCCTGGGCTTCAGAACATGGTTGGAGTTCACACAGCAAGAATCTCTAGTGTAAACACCAAGAATGGATGCCCATTCAGTAGAGCTGTCTCACAGCTACTATTCATGTAGCACCTATCTCTGTCATCTGGGTCACAGCATGTGCTTTCCAGCTATGAAAGAGGAATGGGCAGGCACTTGACACACTCCAGAAAAGCTGAGGATTCAGAAAGATAAGTTTAGGGGGTTACCATTCTTGCTACCTAGTCTGCTGCTCTAAGTTACTGCCCTGTAGCAGAGGTGGCAAAATTAATAGATACTGAAATGGGGGGTGTCTGAGCATTGCAAGTAGTAGCATGAGAAGTAGTGGCTGAAGAGCTAGCACATCTCCCATTCTGCTTCTGCAGAACGTATGTTCTACAGCTACTTGCTTATTGAAGACAGTAACCTTTGACAGTGGGTAGGGTGCATGAATAGGCAAGGACCCCTCAAACTGCTGCAGTCTGAATCATCAAAGTGACTTTCCCCCTTCATGGTGCCTGTAACTGTTCTGTGAGATGCTTTCCTTTCCCTGTGATGTTGCATCTTGTGCTGTCTGGATCTATATAGGTGGAAGAAATGAAGGAGCAGATGGATGTACCTTATGAAAATAGCACTGGAATAATATAGTGCAGGCAAACTGACACAGAATGACCCATCTCACAGGCCCACTCTTGGTTTACTTCTTTTGTAGTATCTAAGATAATGAACAAAATGCAGGGCTGTTTGAGCAATAATACTGCCTATCGCACTTTGTGCGTAACGATTGCTTAAGATACAAAGCAAATAAAATCTACCAGATGCAGCAAATTCTCTTGAGCCTAAGAAAGCAAAAATCAAATGTTGCAAATGTAAATGCTGGCATTGCAGCTTAATACACATATAAACTGAGCAATCTTTATTGTGCGATCATCATTTTTTCAGAAAGGCTGGAGCCCAGAGACTAGCAAATGTTCCCATCTGCAGTGTATCAGCAGTTCTCAGTCTTCAGCTGCTGTATAGATAATAATTCTAATTGAAGAATCATTACATGAATCCATATGTGAGTGATAGATAGCTATAGCCTTTTGTTCCTGATGCTTTAAAAATTGAGTTGCTTTTTTCAGTTTTATAAGGGGTGATTAGGTTGCTTTTTTTTGTTTCCTTTTTCTAAGTGCAACATTTTAATCAACCTGGCCTGACGGAGTTTGGAATCTGAAGAAAAAACAATTTCGGTAGCTGACAGTTTTCTTAAACAATAGCTATTTAAAGGCTTGAATTGGTTACGAAGTGACTCTCCACAGAGAGAACCTTTGTTCAGATGTTTTTAATTCTGAAACCAGCTTGGAAAAATGTGCTCTCTGTGCTCTGTAATAATTTTTTAATGTATACTTTTTTTCCCTTAAAGATAGCAGCATACACTTTACTGCAGCTTAATAATTTGTTTTAAAAATCATAGTTAAAAAGGCATTTGCTCTGTTACTCATCAGACATCTGTCGTATCAAAGAACTAGTAATATATTTATCTTGATGGATAAGCTTCAGTGTTCTGGACCAAATTCAGTGTAAGTGGACCAGGCTTTCAATACTCCTCTGGGGATCCTAAAGTCCAGTTCAGGATCTAATTAAGATCGGTGTGATAATTATATCTCCTGCTGAACAGGAGTCTTTCATCATAGCAATAAAGAATTTCAACGAAATTCTTTACCATGGCATCAAAGCTGATCCCGTTCAGAAGCTGAATTGCTCCTTAGTGTGGATGGTGAAATTTAATTTGCCTTTAGATGCTGGATTCAAATCCGGTCTGAGTCAGCTGTAGCAAAATTGTAACTGCTTGGGTTTTGACCTAGTGTGAATAGAAAGAATGCACTGTTTTCAGCTGGATGATACCCTTCCTATTGGCTGTTCTCAACTTGCTGCAAACATTAGGCCATCATCTTATTACTGGCTGGGGGGAGGGAGGTTGGTCTTGTACAAATAGCATGGCAGCAACAGAGATGTGCGTGTTATTAATCTTCTAGGCATCCCAAGCATGAACACACCACTTCACTGGGAATTACACATGAACACGTAGTGTTTTTACTGATCCGTTCTCTCCAAAAGCTGCTTCTTGGGTGCACTGCTTGTGATCAAAGTGTACCAGAGGAGCATGTGGCCAAAAGATGGGAGAGGAACAAGGCCTCCAACATTTTGGAAGGTTTCTAGATGGTTATGTTTGGCTTTTGCTATGTATAAAGCTCATATT